CAAACGCGGGAAAACGCCGCTGAACACTAATGCAAAAATGCTAAAAAAAAGCTGAAAAACTCAAATTTTTTAATGTCACTTTACACAGCTAACGTTACCAGCATTGTGAAAACGTTCAGTGTGCATGAGGACTTACTGAACAAGCTGAAGTTTGAAGTTGATTGGCTACTATGCATAGCTGCACCAGATTCTAAGTGCACCAGTTTTAGTAAATCTCCCCCAAAGAATTGAAAATGTTTAATGGTGCTGACTATTGAAAGGTAGAATCAGGTCTCTATACACCTGAGAGCTCTGCAAGATCCACTCCATATCAATTAATCATAACTTGCTCCAGTTTGAAAGAAGAAATGGCAAATAAAATATGTGAGTTCACATAGTTAATATGTCCATTGATGATACAGCCATTTCCTGATCTGTGCTGTACAACAAAATTGTGGACCATCTGATAGATATGATGAAGAATTTGTGTGTTCAGTGTTATTATTGCTGAAATCCACTGGGGTACTTAAAAAGTCATTATGTTGTCAGCTGCCAATCACTCAGATGTGGAATTTATATATTGCAGTTCAAATACTTCTACAAACAATCATCTATTTTTTTTACCAAGAGTGAACAAACAAATGTCTTGGGTATTACAAAGTTAAATTCTGACCATAAAAGGGCAATTCCAGCACTTTTTAGTTGATTTATAAGCCATTGCAGCAAAATGATGGGCTGTGTAATGACATTTATTAGCTGTTCTTTGTGAAATCTGCACTTCAAATAATGAAGAATGTGAAGATTTTGCTTGTTGCATGGGAACTGTAAGAAAAAAGTAATGCTGTGTCTATGTGAAATTCCATAATAGTTGTAGACTAACTCTGGTGACATCAAGGAATATCTTTAGTAGGGTGAATGGGATACTTCAGAACCATATATAATAATATAATATGATCTACGAAGTTGATTTCACTGCATTGCATGAATGATGTCACCAATGTAGATATATATATCAGATAGTTTTAAAGATAGATTAGTTAGATAGACAGATTAAAGTAGGATTTTGTTTTAATATCACGATTAATATTTAAATTAAATGAAGGACGCGGTACTACTATTATCATGCACTCCCACAATATAATTTGAATTAGATGGATCTGTCATCCTAAATCATGCATTTATGTTCATTTTTTAAAATTATATAAGACTATATATATATATATATATATTTTTTTTTTTTTTTTTTTTTTGGTAAGATGACCATACACTATACAATGTGATTGTACAATCTTCTTTAGAGAAGAACTAAAAGTAATATAAATATAAATAATTTTAATATAATAAAACAATATATTATCTGTAATAATACAAATAAGAACATTCCGTTAATTTGATATCAAATCAAATAGGCCCTTATATTATAAAATTGATGGTAGACCTAGAGGTGATGGTTCAATCAGATTGTACAGTGTATGTTCAGCCTTAAGCTGGCTATACACTATACAATCAGAATGTATGCTTTCCATACAATCTTCTTTAGAATTACCAAAACTATGCAATATGAGGATGAACCTAAACAATCCATCCAATTTTTATCCAATCAGGCAGGCCCTTTATGGTAGATCTAAAGGAGATTGTACAATCAGATTGCATAGTGTGTATGGCCAGCTTTAAAGTGATTACTTGTTATACTACTAGTTCTCAGACAGTGGTAAGGCTTGTGTAGATGGCCAAATACAGCATGCTTTCAGGTACATGCAGTTTATATTTCAGATCAGTTTGAGACACTTCTAATATACTTCAGAAGTTTTCAAATGAGCTTCTGCTGTTCCATTCCCTCTGACTTATTTGGGAGATAAGCACACAAACAAAAGCACCCTTACTAGTACTGCTGACTAGGCAGAAGAAAGGGAATAATTCAGCAAGAGTTGTATCAGCTTAAAGGAGAAATCCAACACTTTATTCCAGAGTGGGAAGGGTTATAACCGTTGTCAGGTACTGCGAGTATTTAAGTAAACACAAAAAAAGAAAAATGGCACTAAAATCGGCTTCTATTGCAATCTGTGTCCCTGCTGGAGTGATGTCCTCAACTTTCCTGTCCTGGTGACGATAGTCAATGGCACCAGAATTAAAAGGATACCTTCACTTTTAAGGACACAGACAGTAATAGAAACCTGAGACTCTAAGCCATCTTCTAAAGCTAAAAGTTCTGGTCGGTGTTCCACTTTAAAAATGAAGATTCTTCTTGACTTTAAACCTCAGTGAAAAATGAAAGAAAGAAGAAAAGAAGAAAAATGTAGGCTGCCATTGCTGACTTCCTTCTGAAGATGCCGGTTACCTGGCTGGTTATTCCGACCCACTTGGTTTAATACTTTCCAAATCACTGACCTGGGACAAGTATGCAGATTAGAAAAGTCAAAAAGGTCTAAAATTGGCATGTGAGCCAGGCATTTAGCAATTTCAGAAAAAGTTAGCAATGATTGCCTCCATGGTTGAAATCACTTTACTTAATTAAAGCAGTATTAAACCCAAGAGCAAACAATTATATTTGTAGCTTTCAAATTCTTAGATATGATGGCTGCGCTAATTTTCTTTTTTAGGCATTTTTTCTACTATTTTCATCTGATGATCCAGCCAGTAAGTCTATTGTTTTTCAAAAGAACAAGCTTGCTTCTAGATGTATCAGTTTACAGAGATGAGACAAATCATTTACCACTGTCAAAGGTGTTTTCAATGATGAGCTTTTAATTATTATGTAAAACCTTTATGCCTAAAGGGAAAAAAACTGTTTGCTGTAACTGATTATAAAGTGTGAGCTGGAGTTCAGCTTCAATTTCTTAGTGTATTTAAATCTGCTAGAACATCTAACACTCCCCTCCCCCCAGACTGACCATGCTGCTGTCCAAAGGTGCCCCCTGTGCTCCTTCATCCAGAGTGGGGGCACTCTAATACAGAAGGTGTGTTACTGGCCAGATCACCAGGTGAAAGCAGAGAAAATGGAAAAAGCCTCAAAAAAGAAAACAAATGCAGCCACCACATCTAATGATTGGTAAGCTGCAATATATTACATTTCACAAATGTTAAAGCATTTGTCTATGAGAACTAATGAATGATGCCTTTACATTTCCTGTCTGGTTGTGTCAAAGGGCACTAAAAAACTGTGATTTCAGTCTTGTCATAAAAGTAGTAGTCAAAGTTAGCTCAAAATAAAAAAAATAAATCAAAAATAACAATTTAATTTCATTCTCTAGCCCCACATTTTCTGATAATTCTAATATTGTGTAAAGTAAAGCCAAGGAGGGGAAATTGCTAATTTTGGAAATCAGAAGTATCATCCTTGTGATTGCATTGTACAGGCTCTTGAAGTACCAACTGCAAAAAAGGAGAACCATTAAAAATTGTTTTTATTTTCTGTGTAGGACCTGTAGTTACAGTTATCTGCAGTTATCAGATACTTCATGAATAATAATAATCCTATTAGATACCATGGATACTTAGAGAACCTGCACAAGTTTAAAGAGTAACTCCTCTTTTGTTGAAAAAAAAAGATTCCCTTATAGGGATCTATGTGCATTGCAAAGATTTTAACACGCTTTGTTGCAGATTCCTACCTTTTGTTATTCTGAAGAAATAGCTGTCTGTCTGTGTCCATGTGCAGAGGGAATGTGAATGGGAATGACTGTATAATTACCAATCACCTGCTGCACCTGCAGGGCTCTGATGAGGAAAGTGTCAGGGTCTTCATCCCTTTAGACGTGATTTCCTTTTGAGAGTATTTCACCAGATTTGACATTTTTGTTGCAGGGGATGCCCAAATCTGAATCCCAATTATTTAATTGCATTTTTCTGAAAATTACAGCATTGAGATTACAAAGGAAAGGTAATAAAAACATTCAATTACAATATTATTTGTGTTACAATTGTATATGATATATATATATATATATATATATATATATATATATATACACACACACACTGTTAGCTATTTTTTCCCACCCACAAAAGTGGAGTTACCCTTTAAGAAAACAAAACAAGGCATATATAAGATTTCAGAGATTAATAATTTTTGCTGTCAAATCACTGTGCTATTTTATATTGTAAAACAAAATGTTCCCAAAAACTGAAGGCGGTTCCTTAACTTAAGGGGTCATTTTACAAAACTGAGAAAAACGCCACATTTTTATCAGTGTTTTTTCTTTTACAAATCTAAATGCAAGAGTGTTGTTTTCTATGAGCCCATGCACATAGCTGTATAAAAGTCTGATTTTAAAAAAAAAAAAAAATCTGCATCTGAGGTCCTGCTTTTAGACTGCATATAGACCAGGGGCGGACTGACAACTCATGGGGCCCCGGGCAATAGGGGATCATGGGGCCCCTGTGTCCTCATCCACACTCAAAAAAGCCTATGAAAAAGGTACCGGGGCATCTCATGGGGCCCCCTACTGACCCCGGGCCCTTGGGCAGTGCCTGATGTTCCAAATGGTCAGTCCGCCCCTGATATAGACTGTATTGTAAGTTGCACGTAGGTCAAACATTTGGTAAACATTAACATCTGCATATGTACAGTGAACAGTGCAAACCTACTCTATTGCAACAACTGGGAATGCTAAGCAGCAATAGCCGTCTACTTTCTAGCAACTGAAGATGCTAGGCAAAAATACCCCTGCGTCCTAGCAAGGAGGGATGCTAGGTGGTAATAGCCCCCTGCATCCTAAGAAAGAGGGACACTGGGGGCAATAGCCACCTGCATCTTAGCAAAGAAGAATGCTAAGCAGTAATAGCCACCTGCGTCCTAGCAACAGATGACACTAGGTACATAACCTGTCTGTGTCCTAGCAACGAGGAGCAATAGGCAGCAAAAGGCTCCTGTAATCTAGCATATGAGGATTCTAGGTGGCAATAGCTGCCTATATCCTAGCAATAGAGGAAGGTACTGTAGGTGACAATAGCCACCTGTGTCCTAGAAACCAACAGACTGCATTCACGCTATATGCCTGTGTGCCTGTACATGTTGCTTAAAGTGTTACTAAACCCACAACAGTAAAATCAATCTGTATACGCAGCAAAGCATGCTTGTTATACTCACTGTGGAACCTAAAGGATTAATCCTCTGCATTGTGTAAAAAGGCTGTTTGATCCTGTCTTCTCTGTCACTCCTCTTGTTGAAATGACCACCTGATGCAGACTGAACCTGTCGTCACATGTACAGGTGAAACTCAAAAAATTAGAATATCGTGCAAAAGTTCATTTATATCAGTAATGCAACTTAAAAGGTGAAACTAATATATGAGATAGACTCATTACATGCAAAGCAAGATAGTTCAAGCTGTGATTTGTCATAATTGTGATGATTATGGCTTACAGCTCATGAAAACCCCAAATCCACAATCTCAAAAAATTAGAATATTGTGAAAAGGTGCAATATTCTAGGCTTAAAGTGTCCCCCTCTAATCAGATAATTAGGCCATAACACCTGCAAAGGGTTCCTGAGCCTTTAAATGGTCTCTCAGTCTGGTTCAGTAGGAATCACAATCATAGGAAAGACTGCTGACCTGACAGTTGTGCAGAAAACCATCATTGACACCCTCCATAAGGAGGGAAAGCCTCAAAAGGTAATTGCAAAAGGAGTTGGATATTCTCAAAGTGCTGTATCAAAGCACATTAAAAGAAAGTTATGTGGAAGGGAAAAGTGTGGAAGAAAAGGTGCACAAGCAGCAGGGATGACTGCAGCCTGGAGAGGATTGTCAAGAAAAGGCCATTCAAAAGTGCTGGGGACTTTCACAAGGAGTGGACTGAGGCTGGAGTCAGTGCATCAAGAGCCACCATACACAGACAGATCCTGGACATGGGCTTCAAATGCCGTATTCCTCTTGTCAAGCCGCTCCTGAACAACAATCAACGTCAGAAGCGCCTTACCTGGGCTAAAGAAAAACAGACCTGGTCTGTTGCTCAGTGGTCCAAAGTCCTCTTTTCTGATGAGAGCAACTTTTGCATCTCATTTGGAAACCAAGGACCCAGAGTATGGAGGAAGAATGGAGAGGCACACACTGCAAGATGCTTGAAGTCCAGTGTGAAGTTTCCACAGTCTGTGTTGATTTGGGGAGCCATGTCATCTGCTGGTGTTGGTCCACTGTGCTTCATTAAGTCCAGGGTCAACGCAGCCATCTACCAGGAGATTTTGGAGCACTTCATGCTTCCTTTTGCAGACGAGCTTTATGGGGATGCTGACTTCATTTTCCAGCAGGACTTGGCACCTGCCCACACTGCCAAAAGCACCAAAACCTGGTTCAATGACCGTGGGATTACTGTGCTTGATTGGCCAGCAAACTCGCCTGACCTGAACCCCATAGAGAATCTATGGGGCATTGCCAAGAGAAAGATGAGAGACATGAGACCAAACAATGCAGAAGAGCTGAAGGCCGCTATTGAAGCATCCTGGTCTTCCATAACACCTCAGCAGTGCCACAGGCTGATAGCTTCCATGCCACTCTGCATTGAGGCAGTAATCGCTGCAAAAGGGGCCCAAACCAAGTACTGAGTACATATGCATGCTTCTACTTTTCAGAGGTCCGATATTGTTCTACGTACAATCCTTGTTTTATTGATTGCATGTAATATTCTAATTTTCTGAGATTGTGGATTTGGGGTTTTCATGAGCTGTAAATGAGCTGTAAGCCATAATCATCACAATTATGACAAATCACAGCTTAAACTATCTTGCTTTGCATGTAATGAGTCTATCTCATATATTAGTTTCACCTTTTAAGTTGCATTACTGAAATAAATGAACTTTTGCACAATATTCAAATTTTTCAAGTTTCACCTGTTCATGCTCAGTTTAGTGTATATTGCTAGAGAGGTTTTTTTTCTTGGGAGAGTGCATGTGATCAGCACAGGGCCAATCAGCACTGTCCAGACAGAGGTCAGGGGTTTTGCATCCTCCTAGAGCAGAAGGAAAACTCCTCCTACAAACTTTAACCAGCGCACAGCTGAAGTCACAAGACTGCTGTAACTGCTGATGAGAAAAAGTATTTAGCAGTTTATATTTACTAAAATAATTGCATTGCCATGTTGTGTGTACTGTGGGAGACCAGATATAGTGAATGCAGGGTCTTGGGTTTAGTATCACTTTAAGCATTCCATGCATACAGTGTACAAACCGTTGTTACACAGGATTTTGCTGCCAGCAAGATCAGGCTTACGAATTGCTGTGTTTTTATATAACCATGTGCATGCATCCTAAAGCAGAACTCCAGACCCAGAGCTTTTTGTTAAACATTCATAGAATAATACATGGTGCATTGTGAATGGCCAAGGGGAGAGGGGGGCAGATGAAAGCCACTAATGCTTCGATCTATGAAAAACGATGCTCTCATATCTGTATTTGGTGCTTACTATCTGACTTGAACGCCTGTTCATACCAGAACAAGCTGCAGGAAACATGTATTTCATGCATTCCAAAAGCATTGGATATGTGTTCTGCTGCTAGTGTCAGTAGATTCTCAAGAACACCCCAAACACAGTTCACAAACACAGTGCATTTCCCTGCATTGGATCACATGGGCAGCACAGTGGCTAAATGGTTAGCACTTCCGCCTGGCAGTACTAGGGTCGTTGGTTCGAATCCCAACCAAGGCACCACCTGCCTGGAGTTTGCATGTTCTCCCTGTGCCTGCGTGCGTGAGTTTCCTCTGGGTACTCTGGTTTCCTCCCACACTCCAAAGACATGCTGGTAGGTGAATTGGATCCTGTCTAAATTGGCTCTAGTATGTGTATGTATGAATGTGAGTTAGGGACCTTAGATTGTACACCCCTTGAGGGTGAGGGACTGAAGTGAATGTACAATGTATATGTAAAGCGTAAATTAGCGTCATATGTAAATTAACGGTGCTATATAAGTACCTGAAATATATAAATCACATGATACTGCAGCACCATGCAGTCCAGTTGCGGAGTGTTTTTAAAAGTAGTGCATGCTATACTATTAGCGTGATCAATTGAGTCACACTGAATCGCACAGGAACATGAAGTGCAATTCTGTGCATTTCCATTGTGAACCAGCACAACGTACAGAGCAGTGATTCGGACGCTGCTTACACCTGAGCAGAAGTAACTTGTTTTACAGTCCATTAATTACAAAAAGCTCTGTGTCTGGAGTTCTGCTTTAACTTTGGTGAATTTTTGTAGTTTGAAGAGTTTACAGTAACAATTCTAACATCAGCATTTAGTTTACTCATTCTTTTTCATCTCTTGTCACAGATTTGATCCAGTTGCATTTTTAATGTCTTAGAGCCAAAAAAATCAATAAGCTAAAGCCTGTTATAAACATTAAGTCAATATTTGATTATGACGTCCAATAATAATAACATATCTTTTTACTTCTAAGGCATCGTGGCTCTGTGGTCTCTGTCTATTCTGGCATTTGAGAGGTACGTGGTGATATGCAGACCGCTGGGAAATCTCCGTCTACGGGGCAAACATTCTGCTATCGGTATTCTCTTTGTCTGGGTTTTCTCTTTTATATGGACCATCCCTCCTATTATGGGATGGAGCAGCTACACACCAAGTAAGATTGGAACCACATGTGAACCCAACTGGTAAGGGATGACTAAGATTTGCTCTAATCATTAATAATCTTCATTAGTGTGTTACTGGTTTGATTCCATTTTGATTTTATGGCAGAAAATTGAAAATGTTCCACGGCATATCAGTAATTTCTGGGGGTCACTTAGGGATGCATATCTCATAAGGAAAGATGAGACGTTCACCAGCGCAACAACATGCTATTTTATCATATTTGTATTGATTTCCGGTTCTTTTTGTCAAAGCCTGCTTTTTTAACTACACCCCGCTGACTGACTTGGTAATACAAAGCTGGACAGTAAAGTTGTCAGCTTTGTAGAGGCGGCCTTTATCTTGTTCCGCTATGTCTGCTCAGGCTTTTAATGTATCCGCTGTTTCCAGTGGGATATGCTCAGATTTTACTCATTGCCATGGGGAAGCTCTATTATATGTTTAAGCTATCCATGGACTGTCCATGAGAGGTATTCTGATTAAGACTTAAGTATAGTGTATTTTCAGTTGTTACATATTTCAGCTACTATTGCAATGTACAACAAAGTTATTTTTGATTTGGCTTCCACATTTTTCCATTCAAATCTTTCAGCTTTCTATTATTGTATTAAACTAATTATAAAGGCTTACATTTTTATTTTAAATAATAAACATTTTATACTTACTTTCTATGTGCATTGGCTTTGCACAGAGCAGCCTGGATCCTTCTCTTCTTAAGTCCCCCGCAGGTGCTGCTGGTCCCTCCCTCCTGTTGGGTGCCTCCACAGCAAGCAGCTTGCTATGGGGGTACCTGAGTATGCCTACTACCCAGCCGCTGCTCCGTGTGTCCATTCACAGATTGAGTCGCAGCTTGGCACCACCTCCTCTCTCTTCTCATTGGCTCACTGGCTGTGATTGACAGCAGCAGGAGCCAATGGCCCCTGCTGCTGTCTCAGCAAATGAGAAGAGGGATCCCGGGATAGCCGAGATGGGGCTTATGTGAGTATCGGGGGGGGCTGGGGAGGATGCTGCACAGAGAAGGTTTTTTTACCTTCATGCATGGCATGCATGAAGGTAAGAAACCTTCAGCCTTTACAACCATTTTAAATTAAGAGATTTAAAAATTAGCTACTGCAGCCTTTCTTAAACAGGGTTTCATGGAACCCCAGGCTTGCTCCAAAGTAGTGCTGGATTGTCAAATAGGCAGAATAGGCACTGGTCTTTGGGCCAATAATTCATTTAAGGACCCCAGAACAATGGATCAAAATAATATTGATTTGATCTTTAAAAAAATTGCAATGAAGCATTCTTAAATTGTTTACAAAAGATAGAAAAAAATATATGAATTAATCAGAAAATAAAACTTTACAATGAAGGCTAAAGAGAGAAAATACTGAATAAAAGAGGATCTTCAGCAGCTACAAATACTGACCTTTCAAAAAAGACACTTACATGTCCAGGGATCAAGCACTGTCCTCACCCAGTCTGGTTCTTCACCAGTCTTGGCATGTTTACTAAAGCGTTGGCATGTTTACTAAAGGAAGCCGGCTGTGACTCCTTGTGGCTTTACAGCCAGCTTCCCACTGTACATGCATGAGCTGTGCTGCGCTGTATGAATGGTCCTGCAGCCACCTGGGACGTGTCCCAAAATGTTGCGGGCAGGGTTGGGAGGACTTCTGTTCTGATCACCTTGTTGGTTGCAGCAGGTACCTGCTAATACTAGGTACCTGCCCTCCCTTCAAAAAAACAAACCTCCAAAAGTGGGAGAGGATGGGGAAGGGGGTGTTAAAGCCAAACTTCCCTTTTAGGGTGAAGTTCCACTTTAATATGATGGATCCAATACAGGGGCGGACTGACCATTTGGAAACTCGGACACTGCCTGAGGGCCCGGGGTCAGTAGGGGGCCCCTTGAGATGACCCTGGTACCTTTTTTATAGGCTTTTTTGAGTTTGGGCAAGGACACAGGGGCCCCATGATCCCCTATTGCCTGGGGGCCCCATGACTTGTCAGTCCGCCCCTGATCCAATATCAACTTAAAGTACATAAACCATAGACATCAGGCTCACATTACTGTTTGTCTTTTAAAAGCTCATCTTCTTTCAGCTGTCAGTTTGTAAAAAATGTTGGTGCACCTTACCTACGCGTAATGTAGAGTATTGATGTCATCTCCATCTAGTGGCAGACATGCACACTAGTTAGTTCAATGTTATCCCACTAGATTGTACACAAGAAATTTCCAGGACCTTTTGAGGTGGGTCCCAAGGTTTCAGCTGCCTAGGTGCCTCCACAGAGTTTAGTCTGGCACTGCTCCAAAGGTTGCTAGGGGTTCCTTGAATGAGCAACTCTTATCTGTGCAGTATTCTTCCCAATGAGAACAAGTGTAGGAAGCATTTGTCTCATTGACCATCACACGTAATGTACTGTGAACTGTATAGTATACATTACAGTAGTCATTATTAGCAGAGGTTCCTTAGCCTGGAAAGTTATTTTAAGGGTTCCTCCATGTTAAAAAGGCTGAGAAAGGTTGATCTACTGAAACTGTTCTATGTTATAAAAAGGTCTTCAGTCTCTTGCAGAGCTACACCTGTCGAAGAATGTTTAGCATCTGAGGCACATCCATCTGTGTCCCCTGCTGTGCACACCACTATGGTGCTCCAGCTCTGCAAGGACACAGTAATGATGTAACAGCCAGCCAATGAAATCCACAGCAAATAAAGTCACTTCAAAACATTCACTTGTTTAGTCTCCATTGGGGGGCTCACCCTAGACCACATCCCTGCTCAACAACAATGTGTCCAGATGGAAGGAAAGGGACACTCAACAATGACATCACAGTGTTTAAAAACTTTATTCAGGTAGCACAGATACACACAATGACATCACATCCCACCTGTCATCACTTGCTCCAACACAATTCCCCCCAAAGGGATTAATCACGACTAAGGTTATTAAGCATGTGACATCAGCAGTATGCGTCTATTCCCAGCCAGTTTTATCCAGCAACTGAAAACGCAGCATTTGGCAAGGCAAACATCTGACACCCCTGGAGGTGTTTCACATTCTTAAAGTCCCTTTCATATGGGTGGTGTGATCAGATCTGCCAGGTAGACCTGATCAGAAGCTCCATCTGGCTGGATGTAAATAGACTTAGTCCATTTTCATCCGATTACCTTCAAGTCTGTCCAGATCTATCAATAGATAAAAATTTGAAAAGGTATGTGCACTTTTCTGTATTTTCAGACCTCAATTTGAGGTAGGTAGGCCACCCATAGATCTAACATAGGTGGGGAAAGCTCCAGTATTTAAATGCTGCAGAAAACTGAATGAACACAGGCGTCACAAAAAGTGATATCCATTTCATTCAGCTCCGATTCAGCATGGTACTGTTCACTGATGCATTGCTAGTTGGACTGGATGGTGCCCATAAGAAAGAGGTCAAAGTTTTTCTTCTGGTGTAGCTCTGCAGCTCTGCAAGAAAGCATTCGGGCTTGTTGCCGATATAATTACTTATTGCAGGATGCCGTTTTTAGTTTGTTTTTTTTTTTTTTTTGTCTGTAGTCTCTTGTTTTTTCTACTGTTGAGTTATAATATTAGACACACAGAGAGTGCATTGTTTTCAGTTAGTTGACTGACTAATAGGAGTTTATTTAAGGAACAGAGACTATTTACTTAGCAAAGTAAATGCTGCTTCAGTGCAAAATGTGAAGCTGTGCTCACTTTAATTGTCCAAGCATGTGCCTGCAGGTATTCTGTTTTTATTTTTAATTTCCCATGCACATGATTTGGTTGACAAAGAAAACACATCTTAACTTTACTTACTGAGCTAAGTGAATATTCACTTTTCTAAGTGATTAGCATCTACTTTTAGTAAATGAAGCCTAATGCTTGTCAATGTAAGAAGGAGGAGTAAAGCAGTGCTATTGTTGTAGAACTACAAAGTAGGAAGCAGAACCTGCATATGCAATTAAATAACCACTTCCGGACCAGCGACATGCCCGTACATTGCTGCACTTGTTTTTTAGAACCTTATAGAAGCAATCCAAGCAGCTGTGACGGACCACCAGGTACCCCAACTGGCTGCCTCTGCCAACCAGTGCCTCCTGCCCTCCAAACCCTTCTAGCAGATCGATAGCTAATACCAGCCCTTTATCCCAAGCCTCATGCACAGACAAGATGTTGAGGCAAAACCAAAGGAAAAACTGCTTATTAAAACCTAGACACATACTTTATACTGCCAGGAGCTCATAACTCTCTTGGGGATATTAGCATAGATAAGATAAGACATAACAACCAGTAAAAACAAAGACAATGCAACCTTTATACAGGCCACAGATGGCTCGTTTATCGGCCGAATTTTCACCTGAACGAAAAATCGTACGATATTCATGCCGTTAGTGAGGCCAGCCCATCGGCTGTTTTTCACAGATCTCCTCATTTATTTTTATCAGTCATGCTGGAAAATCCGCAAAAAAATGGCCGTTTTTCATGGACATTGGTGGCAGCATCGGCAATGGGGCTGACCGATTTTTCATTTATCGGCCGAAAATGCGTCTATGGCCTGCCTTAAACATTAATCTAATTAACAGCTAGGCACCTAGACAAATCTTATCGGTCGGGCTAGTAGTCACAGGAATTCCCCACCCTGCCTCCCTTGTCTATGTGCTAGAAATCATGTCTACAATAAGTCTTGATTAGCCAGGGCGTGCCCACCAGGATATCCAGAAACAGTTCCACAGCCCCAGATACATAAAGTACATTACACCACTCTTTTCTAAATGTCCCACCCCAGATCCAGCTTTGATCTAGGTTACTAAGTGGCACATCTTTGGCAGAAATAGTATAAAAAGTTAATACTACAACGGTAGTAGCCCTGGCAAAATGGGCAAATGCTGCATTATGCAGCTCTCGAGGACCAGCCGGGGCAAGATAAGAAATATGCCTAGGAAAGGTTCCATATTCCCAACAGGTGAAGGTGCATCTGCACGATCTGTCCAACACAATGTTCCCACAGACATTCTAGGGAATTCCTGGCTGCATTATCTCGGTAGATACTTCCAGCCAGTCAAAGGGTTTCAGGACTCTGCTCTCCTCCGTGCTCTGACCAGGAGAAGCAGACAAAATCCCCAGTCTCCTCCATTGGCCATAATCAGTGGGTAGAAAGCTAGCCCATAGTCTCCTCCAAACGTATCTGTTTCAGTTGGGTCTGTCACAGTGGCTTGTTAGCAACTGGATTGCTTTTACAAGCAGCTGGAGTGGACGCCCCCCACCGCCATCCCAGCAGGAGACCCAAGCGATCAGCCAGTGCCTCCACCAGCTGATCATAGGAGAAACAGAGGCTGGACTGGCTCTAATCACCTCTATGATACAGGAAACCAGAAGAAATGAGCATTCATCACTTCCAGTTTTCCCAGATGTAACAGAGCCATTTTTAAAATGGTAAAGCATTTGATTGCGCCGATCTTGGTGTGATCAGACGCTTTTAAGGGCAGAGGAAAGATTTGGGGTTTAATAGACTCTAGATCTCTCTATAAAAAGTACCTGTCACTGCCTATTGCTGTCACAAGGGATATTTAAATTCCCTGTGATAACAATAAAAGTGATTAAAAAAAATTCAAGCAACAGTGTAAATAAATAAAGGAAATAATTACAAAAAATGAAAGCACCCCTGTCCCCTCGTGCTTGCATGAAAAAGGTGAATGAACGCATCAGTCCTGCGATCTTCCCACACATGTGAGGTAGCACCACAAATGTCAGATCGAAAGCAGTAGTTTCAGACCTCCTGTGTAAATCTAAAGTGGTAACCTGGAAAGTCTTTTAAAGCATTGCCTATGGATAATTACATTTACATTGTTTGTTGCTGATGCGCAGGCGTGCGCAGTTTTAAAGCATGACATGTTTGGCATCTATTTACTTGGCGTAACATCATCTTTTAAATTTTACCAAAGAATTGGGTATTACCGTATTTTTCGCTCCTAAAAAAGGGGGGAAAATGTCAGTGCGTCTTATGGAGCGAATGTAAAGTGGCCGGTCTGGTATTTCTGCCACTACCATGTCAGAATATCGGGCCGGCTGCTCAGCTCTTCTCTCCTGAAGGACCTTACCTGTTCCTCGCTTCAGCGCTGCAGTCTTCCCGCGGCGGCTTCTGTGACAGCCGGGTGCCCACTGCGCATGCGCGAGAAGCACTGCGCTTTGTGAATGGTCCGGCGTCTTCTGGGACACGACAGGTCCCAGAAGGCTCTGGGCCATTCACAAAGTGCAGCGCTTCTCGCACATGCGCAGTGGGCACCCGGCTGTCACAGAAGCCGCCGCGGGAAAAAGGAAGGGCAACTCCGTGGAAGTGGGAGCGGGTACCTGTCAAATTCAGGTACCCGATCCCCCTCCCTCCCCAAAGGACCGCAGTCTCTGGTAATCTCCTTTACTGTCTGCAGTCTCTGGTCATCCCCTGCACTGTCTGCAGTCTCTGGTCATCTATATATGTCCGCAGTCTCTGGTCATCTCCTGTACTATGTCCACAGTCTCTGGTCATTCCCTGTACTATGTCTGCAGTCTATGGTCATTCCCTGTACTATGTCTGCAGTCTCTGGTCATCTCCTGTACTGTGTCCACAGTCTCTGGTCATCACCTGTACTACTGTGTCCGCAGTCTCTGGTCATCCCCTGTACTGTGTCCGCAGTCTCTGGTCATCCCCTGTACTGTGTCTGCAGTCTCTGGTCATCCCCTGTACTGTGTCCTCAGTCTCTGGTCATCCCCTGTACTGTGTCCGCAGTCTCTGGTCATCCCCTGTACTGTGTCCGCAGTCTCTGGTCATCCCCTGTACTGTGTCCGCAGTCTCTGGTCATCCCCTGTACTGTGTCCGCTGTCTCTAGTCATTCCCTGTACTGTGTCCGCTGTCTCTAGTCATCTCCTGTACTGTCTGCAGTCTCTGGTCATTCCCTGTACTGTGTCTGCAGTCTCTGGTCATTCCCTGTATTGTGTCCGCAGTCTGTGGTCATCTCCTGTACTGTGTCCGCAGTCTCTGGTCATCTCCTGTACTGTGTCTGCAGTCACTGGTCATCTCCTGTACTGTGTCCACAGTCTCTGGTCATCTCCTGTAATATGTCTGCAGTCTCTGGTCATCTCCTGTACTGTTTCCGCAGTCTCTGGTCATCTCCTGTACTGTGTCCGCAGTCTCTGGTCATCTCCTGTACTGTGTCCACAGTCTCTGGTCATCTCCTGTAATATGTCTGCAGTCTCTAGTCATCTCCTGTACTGTGTCTGCAGTCTCTGGTCATTCCCTGTATTGTGTCCGCAGTCTGTGGTCATCTCCTGTACTGTGTCCGCAGTCTCTGGTCATCTCCTGTACTGTGTCTGCAGTCACTGGTCATCTCCTGTACTGTGTCCACAGTCTCTGGTCATCTCCTGTAATATGTCTGCAGTCTCTGGTCATCTCCTGTACTGTTTCCGCAGTCTCTGGTCATCTCCTGTACTGTGTCCGCAGTCTCTGGTCATCTCCTGTACTGTGTCCGCAGTCTCTGGTCATCTCCTGTAATATGTCTGCAGTCTCTAGTCATCTCCTGTACTGTGTCCGCAGTCTCTGGTCATCTCCTGTGCTGTGTCTGCAGTCCATTGGTTCAGAATATTTTTTTTCTTGTTTTTCTCCTCTAAAACCTAGGCGCGTCTTATGGTCAGGTGCATCTTATGGAGCGAAAAATACGGTATATTGTGTTTTTTATGCATTACAATTAAAAAAAATGTGTATTTTCAAAACAAATTGTGTTTGAAAAAAACAAATACCGTGTGACATTGCAAAATTGCAACACCCACCATTTTATTCTCTAGGGTCTCCGCTTTAAAAAATATATATATAATTTTTGGGGGTTTTAAGATTTCTACAATAAAACCTTTCCCATATACAATTACAGGTAATACATCAAAACAAGGTGATAAGCGCATTTACATCATCTTGATCTATTTAACCACTGTCCCGCTGCCCTATAGGAGATATACTGCTACAGGGTTGCAGGGGTGGGCAAAATCACGTATATATACACGATTTTGCATTTCCAGGTAGGGGGCACGGGCTGCTATTCGTGACCTCGGCTGTCACCCAGAGGGTCCCAGCAGGTGATTACTCGCCGGCACCCGGTGATCGACAAGTAGTACCAACTAGGGGCGAACTGACCATTTGGAAACTTGGGCGCTGCCTGAGGGCCCGGGGTCAGTAGGGGGCCCCATGAGATGCCCCTGGTACCTTTTTCATAGGCTTTTTTGAGTTTGGCCAAGGACACAGGGGCCCCATGATTCCCTATGGCCCGGGGGCCCATGAGTTGTCAGCCTGCCCCTGGTACCGACAGAGAGAGAGAACTGTATGCAAACAATACAGTTTTCTCCCCTGTCAGCTCCTGCACACAGCAGAGCCATGCAAAGCAGTGTGCTTTCAATTGAAAACACTAACACAGCACATAGTAAAACAGCACACAGTTAACCCTTTGATCGCCCCACATGTTAACCCCTTCCTGCCCAGTGCCATTATTACAGTGTCAGTGCTTTTTATTAGCACTGATCACTATATTGGTGTCCCTGGGGATGTCAGTGACACCAAGCCAGTTCCCCCCAGTGTCAGAATGCCTGCCGCAGTCCCGTTATAAGTCGCTGATCGCCTCCATTACTAGTAGACCTAAAAAAAAAAAAAAAAAAAAAATTCCAGTATATATACCGCCATTTGTAAACGCTATAACTTTCATGTAAACCAATTAATTTATATGAATTGGGATTTTTTTTTTAGCAAAGACATGTAGCAGAAAACTTAGATAAAATTAGATTTTTAAAATTTTTTGCTGGACGTGTTTAATAGCAAAAAGTCAAAATTATTTTTTGTTTTCTCAAAATTTTAGAACTTTTTTTTTATAGTGCAAAAAATAAAAAATACACAGGTGACCAAATACTACCAAAAGAAAGCTCTATTCGTGGGCGTTGCATGACCGCGCAATTGTCAGTTAAAGTAAAGTAGCGCTGTAACGCAAAAAAATGGCCTGGTCAGGAAGGAAGGAAGTCCTCTGGAGGGCAAGTAGTTAAATATCTACAGTATACTTAAAAATGTTTGATAAGGCTATACATTCCCTTTGACCCATAATAGATACCTTGATAAGTCACCCAGTGTGCCAAATTTGACTTGTACTTTAAGAGTGCTGTCTGACCTGCACATTCTGTTCTTCTTCTTTCCTCCGCCATGACACCATTACCATCTTTTATGACAGCTTCCCCTTTACTCAGCAGTTGCCTTGCCCATCACACACTGAGGAAAGTCCTGCCAATACTCTGTACAGGAAAGAAGCTCTCCATGATTTCCACTGATTGGTAGGGTAGTGACTATCAACATGGCATCCAGAGCTCATCGCTAGAATAACCATTAAAGTAGATGTAAACCCTGAAAGGTGGACCAAATATAGTGTTCACCATTTGACAGCAGAGGTGACAATGCCGGAGCACAATTGGGAGACAGTGGTCACCCTATAACAGGAAATATCTGAACAAGAACCTTTAAAAGGGATCGATCGTGAAGTATTATTTCAACGAAAGCTGCAGAATATAAGGAAAAAACTCTTTTGAAATTACATTAAAATGTTAATCCTTCTGTGAGATTTCAGTGATTGGGTTCAAATCTTTAAGCAAAGTAAGCCCATATTTAGGGCAACAAAGGAAAAGGGTAACCACAACGTCTTCCTCTAGTTATCTTGCCATGAAAACCCAACTCCAGGAAACTTGAAATTCCTCCTTTGCAGTGGGACTGCTCCCCCATTGCAAGGGAAAACTGCTCATTTATGTCTAAGGAGCATTGAAAATTAGATTTACTTACACAATCCTCCACTATTTCATGCTACTAAACTGGTCCCCACAGCATCTTCTTCCCCATACTCCAGTGGCCAAGGCATTGATGTCATCAAGAGCAATGCAGGGTCCATAGCCCTGCACTGGACATAAGGATACCAAGGGACAGACCACTGCCGGTTCATGAGGGAGTGCTGTCTGCCAGGAATCAGGTAAGAAAATGTGCTTTTACTCTACCCTAAACCTAAACAAGCAGTTAAACCCTGCCGTGCAGGTGCAACCCTACTGCATGGGGGAATTTTCAGATTTCTTGGAGTTGGGTATAAACTCTTCACTGCATGTTTAACTTTAGTTTGTGTCATTGTGTCCTGTATTGGGAGGCATTGGGCTTGTGTCGATCGACAAATGCAGCTTTCTCTCATGTACATTCCACTTTCATTTGAGATCAGTTTGAAGCTTATTCCTAGTTCCTGTACTTGACACCCATTAAAGATACATCAACCTTTTTTTGAGCTTCTTTTGCATTCCTATTGACCTGAATGGGCCCTAAGAAAGAACAAAAACTTTTCTTTTGACATAAAGTTGAAAAGTTGGGGACAAATCTTATTTTGTCTTATATTCTTCGGGCTAATTACAAATAGCTTTCAGAAAGTTTTGTATTTGATTTTTTTTTTCTTTTTATAACATGTTTTAAATACAAAAAAAGTGTAACTTTCAAGTCTAGAATTTACATTTTCTATATGTTACGCTACTTATAAGTAGACTATTCGCCTATTGCTTTTTAGTGTTAAATAAATACAATTTTAAGTTATGTGATGCAGCCTGGAGGCTGGCTGGCCTGGAAGGAAACCGAATTTTCAGTTTCTTATTTTACCTTCAGCACTTACTGCCTTGGCAGTTCAGCAATGGACGGGCCAAGGGGGCACCTTTGCTGAGCTGTGCTTGGGGCATCGCTTGGCTTTAATTTGACCCTGTCAAAATTTCTATCTATGGCATCTCAGGAATGGTGACCACATTATCAGCAGGGCATAATGGGACAAACCCAAACTCTATCTGCTATCTACACTATACAAATAAATGGCTGTGCTTCTTTTACTGCATGAAACTTCTAAATTTCTCAAACACATTGGTCAAGTAATGTTTAGAAAAATGTATACATGTATGGCTATTCCATCAGTTTTTTAATCAAAGAGATTTTATTGAACAAAAACAGATAGAACAAAAATAAAATCCATAGTTCCTGAACAAAGAGAGGAAAGAATGCAATATATCCAGAACAAGTACAGACTCATTTTCGCCACCAAATCAGATTAAACAGTAGTACAACAGTTATACTGGGGACTGATAGTGGACTAAGCAATTAGTGTGTCATAGGGTGAAACAGCTGTTATCAAAAATCACTGCAAAGTAAACAGAGATAGACATAAATGTACAGTATGTCCTTCGGAGGTGTATATTATCCAAAGAGAGCTCTGTTCATTACCAGATCATGTGGACCTATACCTGGGGTATTCATCCATGGACCTCAGAGGTTCTCAAATTTATGAGGGCAACTCCTATGTTCAGAAATATATTTCTCCATTCCAAGAGCATCCCCCATACATTGTGACCATTACTTTTGGGTGGGGGTGGCTGATGACTTCCAGTGTCTTAAGAGAGTTCTACGTGCCTGGAATAATACCCTAGCCTTCCCTCACTATAGCAGATAGATGTAAAGTATTTAGGATTCCAAATAAACAATATTTGGAATAATAGGAAAAAAGGAGTGCCCGATGTTCAAAAGAATGCAAGTTTGGATTGGATCAGATCACTTTGGATTTGTCATGTTATTATTTCATATGTTTATGGTTTATGTATTTTTTTTTATATGTGGTATTTAGATTAGCACTACACTAATTTATTTTTACATTTTGTGCTTACACCTATAAGGTTTAGGTTTTGGGTGTTAGCAGCTTATATAAAGTTCATCACTAATATAATAGGAGCGCAGGAGGATCACAACATCAAGCCAACATGTTTAGGAAGAAATGACTCTCCCTTCTTCAGGGCTGTTGTTGCATGCTATTAAATGGGAAGGATTCCAGCCACAGGTTTTGGGGAAAAACTGACAGAGTGACAGCTGAGGATCCAGGTGCAGCAAATGATATTTGGGATCAAGTGAAATGGTGACCTGGAATGTTGCGTTCAGGGTATGTACAATTCCCTCCCAATATAGATGCAATTTAGGGCATCTTCATTAAAGGTGAATTAAATCGCCGTGATCTTGGCTGTATTTGCTACAGATCTATTCCTCAAGGGAGTAAAGGGACCCTAAGAGGCAAGTATAACTGCATACCTTTTTGAGTTACGTTCTACATTTTCATATTTAAAGATATTCTGTCAAGAAAAGAACCTGCTGCAGATGCAAAGTACGAGCATTTAGTGAGTCCTTCAGCCACCTGACTGTCAGATCTTTCCACTACCTCCTGCATCCACATGCCTATGATGGGTTGCCTGCCTGGCAAAAAGATGCACAGGAAGGGCTGGGCAAGCTTCAGCTATCAGGAATTGCTTGTCAGAATGACCCAGTATTTGACCCTTTCTGCAGGGTTTGGGAGCCTGTTGCAGGTGATACATTTATACTTGCAAAAATGTTTAAACCTGCAGAAGCATTAGTTTCCAAAAAAACTTCAGTGAACAACTGCATTTATTCGAAGAGGTGTTTGATCATGTGGACAGGGGAAGAGGTACTTTATTTACTCTCATTTTTACAGTTCATTTTTTTTAAATGTTTTTAAAGCTTGTTTTTTGCGACCA